AATAACTGACAGAGGGCTGGAAGTGGGTAGATCACGAGGTCAGGAGATCGAGACCATCCTGGGTAACACTGTGAAACCCCATCTCTACTAAAAATACAAAAAATTAGCTGGGCATGGTGGCAGGAGCCTGTAATCCCAGCTACTTGGGAGGCCAAGGCAGGAGAATTGCTTGAACCCGGGAGTCGGAGGTTACAGTGAGCTGAGATTGTGCCATTGTCCTCCATCTTGGGCAACAGTATGAGACTCCATCTCCAAAAAAGAAAGAAAATAAATAACTGACAGAGATACACAGTTTCCAGGATGGTGCTGGAACGTCTGTTTCAAAAGCATTTTTGATAAGATTTAGACATATGATAACTTTGATTTTAGTTTCTTTAAGTGGATATTCCTGAGGTCATAAAAATTGGCATAATAGTATCTGTGTGTGTGTGTTTGTGTGTGTGTGTGTGGTATTCATACACATCATGTGAAACTCAATTATATAATAAATTTGGAGTTATATTTTATAGAGTTTTTTTTTTAATAGTCTTACCTTAATGTTGACAAAGGTAGAAGGATTTCTTAAACCTTACTTTTTGGTTCTAGCTAGGAGTACTTATAATTAAGTCTTAGATTTTCTTAAGGACAAACTAGTCTTTCAGTGTTGTTTTCTCATTTTCAGTGATGAGGTGTCTGTCTTGTGATTAATCACATTATAATACTTTAGACTTGTCACAGTTGTAAAGAATTTGATTAGATATTGCAGAAAATAGAATTTATCCCAGGTGAGTTGTCGCATGGGAACCAGCATGGGAAGAAGATGGTAGGAGCAGGTAGGTCAAGCACTGCTTTAGTAGTTAGAGTTGAGAGGTCAGTCTCTTTTGGGGAAGTGAAAGTAGGGCTGATTAATTGGCTTGCTTCTTGGTAACTCAACCAATGTGTCATTGTGACAGAGAGGGAAAAGTAGAAAATCATCATGAATTTTATGTTTATATTTATGATTTTTTCATAGAATTGTAAATATATAATGCTCAGCCTACTTTTAAAAATCCTATTGTATGTCAAGCACTTGTGCTAGCCTAGGTGGTTCAAAAATGTAAAGACACAATTGTCTTCTTCAGGGAGATCTGACCATCTAATGAGGGGGGAAAACATGAAAAGTAATTACAAAACTCTGTAAGAGATGCTAAAATTGAAATAGATAGCACAAGGTACAGATAATGCATAAAGTAAGGGGATAATCTGATCTTTCTGAGGTATCAGAACCTTACAGAGCAGCACATGAACTGGCTCTTGAAAGATGAATTGAGTTGGCCTGAAGGACAAAATGATACTTTTGTAGGCTGAGAGAACAGCTTGCAAAGACATGAGACAACATGACACTTTGGGGAATACTTGAAAAGAAAAGAAGGAAGGTTAAGAAATAAACCTGAAAAAGAAAATAGGCTAGCTCATGAAGGGCTTTCTATGCCTGTTCCTTCAGTGGTTCAACAATCAATTATGAGGTATTGTGAACAGATTTATTGATTAGACGGTTTGGAAGGGGTGAACCAAAAGGCATACAGCTGAGTGAGCATTCTGTTGAGCAATTTAGGTGGAAAACAATGTAGTGGCAGAGTGGGCTAGAATAGGATGGATCACAAGAGGCAGAACCAATAGGATTGGTAATCAATTGGATATGGAGGGCAAGGCTGTGGGAGATGAATCCCAAGTTTTTCCTTGGATGTTTGCATGGGTAGTGGTGTCATTCACTCAAATAGGAATTATAAAATGAAATTAACATTGGAGCTGGACTGGGCTGTAAATCAGGTTAGTCTGGGTGTATTGATTTTAAGGCCTGTTGAACATCTGAAGTACCACAGAGCCTTGTGAATTGTGAACTTAACAGGTAGAAGTGGGCCTGGGTAGTGTGTGCAGAATGAGAGGGAAAGAGGACTAACAAAGGATTCCTTTTCCTTTTTTTTTTTTAATGAGAAATGTCACCTTTTAGGGTTCATTAGCAGAAGAAGGGCACATAAAAGTAACTGAGAAGGAACCGGAGGAAAGCCAGGGGAGAGTGGTATCAAATATTAAGGAAAGAAGAGAGAAGAGAGTTAAGAATATATGTTAATATATGTTTGTAGAGTGATGGTTTTATGTGGAGACCTTATGCTTCCAATGTATAATAATCTCTAATTTTAGTTGTAAAGTTTATAAATATTAAATTTGTTTCATATTTATACAAAACATATATGTATCTATCTGTATGTAAGCCCAACTTACAAGCATACTATAGATTTATGCTATGATTATAACTATTATATTACTATATAATGTGCCAGAAAGATGATGCTATATTTATTTTACAGACCGTAAAACTAAGGTTAGTTAATTTATTTAAGGATACATGGCTAGTACAGACTTGGATTCAATGCAGGACTTCCTGGCTCCTCCCAGACAGTGGTGCTTCCTATACATAGATTGAAATCACAGCACACTTATAAATGAATTTAAAGGTATTTGTCTTTTCCAAATCTATTTTTATATGTGGATCAAACTTTAGAATTTTAAAATGTGTTATATTAGGAAAGGAGTTAATTTTTTTGCTATTATTCAAAATTTTAATATGCTTTCTTCATATAATTATTTTTCAACTTTTTAAATGTCATGCATGCAGTTGGTAGGTAATACATTTTTTAAAGTTGTTAACCTTTTGATTATGATTATAGATTCTCCTCATCCTGCATCTTTAATATTTGTCTGGCATAAGAGGCATTGTTGCTGCTAAATGAATATTAGAGTTCTTTCTTATAAGACTAAATTTTGAAAACAAAATAATGAATAAATAACAATAAACAATGAATTTTATTAACAAATTGAAGTTATTAATGGTTATTTGGTCAGTTCTCTGAGAGAGAGAGAGAAAGAATCCTGTACTTTTATTTTAATCATAAAACCCCCAAGAAGTGGAGTGGTAGAAATAACTAAGAAATGGCAAATCTTGAATCCTATTCTTCGCTTTTAGAAAAACAATAAATTAAGAGTGAGCTGGCAAGGTACTTCCTTTCTCTGGGCCTATTTTCTTATCTATACAATGAGGAAATGATGAAAAACTTTTCTTCTAACATTCTGAAATTCTTAAATTAGGATAGGGATTAGGAAAATAGGTGAATGTAACGTTATTTTCTGTGCTGGCTGTGGTTTCAATGCAAAACAGGTTAGTACAATTGCAGCTTCTATGCTTTTGATTAAATTAGGGAAACTAAAATGATCCACCTTCATCTTGATAGGAGTTATTAAAATTAGCCCTTTGATCAAGTTAATACCTATATAAAAAGAATGCAGAACTCCTCACCGTGCAACTTGAGATAATCTTAGTATTTTTCTGTGAGAAGAATTTAGTTTTTTAAACACTTTTAGGTTTTAGTCATTAAAACACTCATTAAAAGTAAAAATTATATGCTTAGTAATCTCTTATGTATAATTGAATTAAAATAAAATTTACCAATCTTTAGTCATGTTTTGCCTCTGCTAAAACTTCCCTTGTTCTCAGTATCGTCTGTGAAACCAGGTTACTATAAAAACTGGAAATTTGGGGAACTTACTTGCCCCAAAAGTGGGGGTTAATAGTATTACCCACCTAGAATTTTTGTGAAAATTAATTGAGATTATCAATCAGTGTAACATAATGCCTGGCACATAATAAGTAACTAAGTCATTAATAGAATGAAGAAATTTAAGGAAGATTTAGGCTACATATTGACTTATAAATAGAGGATGAAACAGGGTATTTAGATTCTTCTGTTTGTTAAAGAGAGATCAGATTGAAACTTACAAAAATATATTTCCTTTATCCTGCCCCATAGAGTAGAACATTTATTTTACTCAAATTACAGCTCTCATATGTTTTATAACAGCTTCCCAAAACTACTATACACATACACGCATATACACATAAACACACATGCACACCCCATACTACACCACTTGTATTGATGGATCTTGAGTAAGTTGACATAAAATATAGTTAATTTCTAGGTCTGCTGACTCAGAGCAGCAATATCTGGTCTAGTTTTAATTAGAAAGTAAGTAACAATAATAGGTTTGTGTCGTTCAGTTAGCTTTTTTCCTAGATTTAAGAATGAATTTTAATCGTATGTTAAGAAGTATCATATCTGAATTTCTAAAATATATCGTTGTTTATAGACCAGTTCAGTGGGCAGAGTTCGAAAATATTTTTTTAAGGGAAAAATTTTGATTTCCAAGTATCTTTGAGTATGTGTGGCAGAATAATTATTGTCATTTGTACCAAATGACAATTTATACCGAATGACAGTTCTTGTCATTTATAACAAAAAAAGAAGAGATACATCAGATACAAAAGCAATACTTACGGTTTTTTTTCCAGAATAATTTTAAATGTGATATTTTCTTCTAAATGTCATGAGCAGAATTTTGTTGAAAGCCAAGATTGGTAGATTATTGTTATAATTCAGATAGAAGAAATTTAAATAGTTGAAATGGTACCAAATAATACTCTATTTCAGTTACTGTTTCTTTATGTAGAATCCAAAGATGATGAATTCACTCTTCAGTCTAAACAAGGTTTAGAGGGACATATAAAGCAAAGAAAGAACTTCACCTAACAGTGAGCTATTAGGATGTTGTGGTTCATGTTACGCAGGGTAGAGGATTGAAGATAATAGTAAAGTTTGGTTAGGAGGAGACCACAATGGTGAGAAGTACAAATTGGCAAGGCTGCAGCATAAAGTCAAGGACAAGTATGTCTGTGATAGGAGATGAAAAAAACCATTCCTGTATTGAGCGTAAGGACAGTCCAGATTCTAGCACAGATTATTTGGATATGTATTTCAGAGTTTACCGTAAAAGAGAGTGTGAAGTAATTGGGACTTAAACTTGGTGAATTTTAATTGTCAGGATAGGAAACAGATTTCGTTATGAAATAACTAGAAATTTTGTCTGAATTTTGTTCTGTAACAAATGTGTGAACTTTCTAATTACCTTTCCTTCAATTTTTTCAGATCAGCTGTTTCATGTATTAGCCTTGCACATGCGGCTTTATAGCATTGACTCTGAGTATAATCCCTGGAGAAAGCTCACCCAGTTAGAAGAGATGAATCCACAGTAAGTATAATTGAAAGACTAAAATCAATTAAAACTCTTTATGAAAAATAGGTGTTAAATATAAAAATGGAATTGAAATTTCAATATATGTGATTTTTTTCACATTTTCTTTATGAAACACAGAAATATATCATAAGAATTGAAAACAGTTTACCATTATGCTGTCTGTAAAAATTGCATACAAATTTCCACCATGTGAGAAAATCTTTTTTTTTTTTTTTTTATACTTTAAGTTCTAGGGTACATGTGCACAACGTGCAGGTTTGTTACATATGTGTACATGTGCCATGTTGGTGTGCTGCACCCCTTAACTCGTCATTTACATTAGGTATATCTCCTATTACTATCCCTTCTCCCCCTCGCCACAATAAGACCCGGTGTGTGATGATCCCCTTCCTGTGTCCAAGTG